GATGAATTTAACCCTTGAACTTGCCTTTTCTGTATTTTTGCTTTTAGGTGAGCCGTATGATTGATTGCATCCTAATTGATTTAATTACTGCGAATGTCCTTAGGGCATAAAATTGAACTATCTGGTACAAATTGTACGTAATTGTATGCAAGTATTGAAAGAAGCAATCAATATGATAAGAAATGGCTGCGAATTGTTTTGAAAATGAGGCGTAAAATGTTACCAGCAAGGATATTCCGTTTGGCATCACTTGTACCATTACTAGCGATTTTATCGCCTGCACCGGCGAAACAGAAAAGTACCCACTGCATTTAGAACTGCATAAGATAGATTTAAGTAATTTTAAAAATGTTTACAGGACCTTTATGAATTGAAAACTGAACTTGACATGGCATATACCTATGCAACATGGTTTGGATGAATACATTTGGAAAGAAATGTATAATATGTTTCACCAACCCTAAAATATATAAGCATTTAAAAAATTATGTTGCCTGTGTATAAAGTGAGAAATTATATACTTTCAACATTCATTTTAGGTGATTAAAAATTTAAAAAAATTAACTCACTATTTTAATCTAAACAAATTCCTCAAGATAAGTATGGATAGTAGTACACTATTATCAAACGCATGCTAAATTTGACAATTTCAAAGTTAAATAATGATTTTAATCTAACAACTTATTTTTTAACCCAAATTTTAAAACCTGAATCAACAGGATTCTGGAATAGTCTTCCCGTGGTCACATGCTATCTGTTTTTAAGGTTTTTAAAAATTCTGCATTAGTTTCACATGTTATCTGTTTATCTTTGAATGCTACTTGCTACCCTGCAATCACAATCATAGCTAGTACGCAATGCTGAGGTTATGCTCAATGCAGTATTTGTGCACATTTGATTTTTTTAGCAGATTGTTATGTACATGGGAAGAAAAATACTAGTGTATTATATAATTATATATGACCCTAAATAATTAAAATTTGTATTTAAATTGTTAAAGTATGTTTTTAGTTTAACATGCTAATAATATTTACCATTTTGCAATAAATATTGCTAGTGCCACTATCTTTAAAAATATAACTTGCACCCAATCAATAACTTTTCCATTTTTGTTAATGATTTAGAAATCATTGTCATAATCTGTAAGTTATAAAACATGGGGAAAAAATAATGAATTCCATACAATATATGCCTACCAATTCATAAGTAGCTATAAAGATGTTACCACTTGCATTTAATTATCAAGATTTTTTTTTTTTTTTTTTTTTTTTTTAATTGTAAGATCTGGCTCCCCTGCCCAAAAAATATTTTGAAAAAGAGCAATCAAAATTAATTTTATTATTACTTTTATACTTCTTCAAAAAACATTCCTTTAATAGTAATTATATGCTATCTCTCTGATTCTGATCAGTAATATTTTTTTATTGAAATTCATACCTTTACATATGTGAATAGGCCAGCTTATCTGAATATAACAAGCACATAAGTAGGGCTATCTGTTTAAGCAGAAGGATGCCCTCCACAAAGACATTTCTAAGTGAAACCGACTGATTGGTTTGATATTGCCATAAATAATGCAAAAAAATGCAGTGTGTCCGGCTGGCTATGATGGTACATAAGATGAAGCTGCCTGTACCATGGAACCCCAGGAGGAGTGGCGGAGAAGGAAGGGGAGGAAGCAACCATGGGTCGCTAGGATTGAATAAAACAAGGTGCATCATAATGATAAAGGGCAGGAAGTCTGAGATAGAACGTAAACCGGGTGTCTTCAATATAGTAAGATGTACACGAACAGGGGAAAAAAAAGAATGTGCTAAAAATATAACTTTTATTACATTACTGTACAATAAAGAAATACTTAAGTACTAGAAACAAAATATATACAATGAATATAATTCAAGTAAAGTAAATAAAATAGTTTTAGTATACTTATCTAAAATAAGTATACTAAAACACAGGCAGACAACAACATAATACAATGATACTAAAAACAAAATGCATGAAATAAATGATATGTATGCTATGTACAATGCAGTGAAATTTGTTGTGAGAGAAATTAAGAGTCATGGATGAGATGAGGTAAGTTGCTAATGGGCAGCTAAGATTTTGAGCTCAATCCTCAGCTAAGATTTGTCACTGAATAGGATGAAAGAATTAAGATGTGCACAGTTAATGCTTTATAAAAAATTTCTCTTCATCTTCTTCAAATAATCACCAATAAGTCAATTTTTTTTAGATCAATGTAATGTTTCACTGCTTACATAAACCTGCACATTGGTAATGATTCACATGAACTATTTTGAATAAGCTGTAGTTTCCAGATATTTTTTTGGGCAGCCACCCAGGCCAACGAGACATACCTCATAATCAGCCTAACAATACTAATGAAATTCAATTTTTCCCCTCCATAAATCTAGGTTAGAATATTTTCCAGTTTACAGAGTTAAGTTATTAATTACATGGAAAGTCTTTCTTCTGATACTAGTAATATGATTAGCCCATTAATTTGTTCATTCAGTACTAATATGAGAAGCTTTCTTTTAAGTGGAGTATTTGCATGGTTTCTCCATACTAAAAGCAGTTGGGACTACTAGCATTAGTGGAAATTCTCCACTTGATGTACCACTCCTTGACATTAGGAAAAACATCCTGTAGCTCTTTAACTGTGCGATTTGCATTAGCAGACTTTATGACTAAAGCCGTATTGTCTGCACAGCAACCCAGAAAGTGATTTCTTTCCAAATAAGCTCTTGGAATGTCTGCTCCATAAAATACATAAAGTATTGGACCTAAAATTGACCCTTGCAGGATGCCTCACCAATAATTGGATGAGTTGGATGTCAGAGGCATCACTTCCAATGGACATAGAGAATCTTCTATTGGTGATGAAAGACATGATGAGCTGAATCAATTCTCTACCAAAGTCAAAAATTAATCAATTTAGATAAATAAGCCCATATGCCAGATGTGGTAGAAAGCTTTCGCCACATCTAGCACGAGTATGGCCATGTTTGTCTGTTATGCATTGAAAATGTTACTAACACATATTCACGTTATTTATAAACTAATAAAGAATCATAACTGCTCATGAATAACATTTGCCTCAATAACAAGGGTTACATAAAATTATGAAATTATGTTACTGTAAAGGAAATATTTCTATTAATATCTATCATCTAATCAAAAATATCTATAATCTACAATAATTCATTTAAAGAAATATATAATCCGGGGAAAGTGCGGAATCACCCACTGCTTGGCGCATTTTTGAACTGCACATACTCGGTATCCATGTACACATCAACCTATTTTCACTTTAAAATAAAATATTCCAGAATTGCACAAAAACGGCACTATGCACTCCCTTGTCTTTATCCATGTACACATAGACCTATTTTTCACTTAAAAAGTCACAGAAAATTGACAAAAATCCAATTCTTCTTACTATTGTAAAAAGCGCCAAACAAATAAGTGGGCGATTCTGCACTTTACCCTATAATCCAACCTATCCAGAGGGACAGGAGATTTTATTCTAACAAATTTTAAAGAATAAGAATTGCTTAATTCAAATCATATTTTATTCACTTTAATATGAATAACTTTTTCTTTCATAAAATACACAGAATATGCAAATTTCATTTTTCACACATTAACTGGTAGTGGCTGGCCTCTTAAAGGCTTTGTGGCTGAATCAATGGTCCGAGAAGCTGAGGACTTCGCCCTTGTATTAACATAGCAGCATTTAACTGGTACATTATTATTAAAATCTCTTTTTGCTGGCATTTGTTACTGAAAGTTCGAAATCTAGGATCATAATCTAGCTTAAAAAGTTTTCCTATTTATAATATTCATCCAAAAGGTTAAATTTTTTGTACTGAAATATTAAATGTATGCAATTTTAATTATATTTATATACAGCCTCTGTTCACACAGTTTCACAATACAGTAAAATCTAAAACCATAATTATGATGCAAATAAATTACACATCATGCATAACAGCAGTGTGAAACAAGTTTTTTTAATTACGATAACAATATATGAATTTATTGGAAATTGTGAAATTAATGTACAAAAAAGTTTTTAATCTGAATTATTTCAATTTTTTTAAATTCTGTATTAATCTTTCAAAATATATTAAAAGATAAAAGAACAAGAATAAAATAATCAGCAGAACAAAGCAATTAACAGTTTGTTTCAAATAATTCTGACAACACAATAATTTGAGTAATTGTTCAAAATTGTGTGTATATTTTTCTTAAATTCTATAACTGTGTGCATATTTTTCTTAAATGAATCAACTTCAATTAAAAAAAAAAAAAAATCAAACTTGAAGGGAAAAAATAGATTATTTTTAAATATACATAAAGTAGTGCATCTACAGTAGTGTGCCTAAAGTATGCCAAACAGTGTACCTAAAGTATGCCAAAACAATGGTGCTTAACATTTTTCATACCTATGATCTATTTTAAGCTACATATGCTGCTAAACGAACAGAAGCGCCATTTAAAGGTCATACCTAAAAGAGTAATGATATTCAGTACATTAGAGTACCGACGGTGCAACAAAAAAAGAAGCATTTTACTTCAGTTATTTATGTAAATTTCATTAGCATTATGGTAACTAGTCTCTAAACATGCGTTTTAACATTTAAAAACTTGAACGTTACACAAAAGTTCAGGTTAGCAAAATATATAAATTTCAATTGAGAATTATTAAAACCATAATAAAGAAGAAAGCTCATTCTTAACAATATTTCTGACGTTCTTAGGAAACATTCTTCTGACTCAAATAAAAAGCAAAGTAATAAATCTGTCTGCAATTCGACGTTTAAATCTAAACCGTCAACATATAATGGTTTTGAAAGACTGCTGATAATGATCAGAATTATATTCATTATTTAATGGTTTCATTAAACAACTGGTCTCGGCTGACACGTAAAAGTATCACAACCAAATAATGAATAAAATATTAAGAAAGGAAAAAAAAAAACAGTACTTACAAGAACCATAGTAGTGAACTAACTATCTTTCGCCTTGCATTTAAGCCACAGCATAAGAAATACAGGGAAATATTAAAGATTTTTGTGAAATGAAAAAAAGTGACATCACGCGATTCTAAAGCTACAGAAAGAAAAACAAAAAGGAGACCCAGACTTTTAACCTCTTACTACATGTTTGACCACACCGCGACCACTGCTACTACAAACAGGATCTTTAAGGAAAGGAACGAGTCAAGACGAAAGTTTGCTGTTGCCATAATGATTTTTATCATTAATGCCATAATGATAAAAATCTTTTTAAATGTCTACCGGTCAATTCTATCGGCTTACTTTTTATTTCAAAGATTTTTTTTATTGCCTCTTTGATTTTTTTAAATTCGAGGTATACTAGCAAGCGATTTAAAACTTCTCCTAAAGCAAGGGTTCTGTAAAGATAATAATGAAAAACAAATGATGTTATGTAGTCGCCCAGACGGTATAGTGGTTAGGGAGGCCTGACTGCGATACCGAAGGGCCTGGGTTTGAATCCCGGAGAAGACATGGTTGTAACTGTCCATCCTTTCATAGGAGGCCATAGTAGTCCACCTATTAAGTGCCTCCATAATAAAGAGACTACCACATCTGGACTTGTATAGATTAATGGTTTGTGTTACACTGTAACTGTTTGAAATTAAACAATTTCTTGACTCATTTAATAATTCGGACGAATGTTGATATATTTCGCAGAGAAAACCTTTTTAATTAACAACGAACTTATTTTATTTAGCATTCTAAACATAACAAAAAAGTAACATTCCATGCGTTATCACGCTCAAAGCAATATATGAAAAACATCACTGTTGCCGCAAAAAATCTACACTATAACGAACATATTAAAATAGTGTGTATTAATTGAGTTCCTGCACGTTCTTTAGCATCCTCCCACCTTGCAATTTTTGGAAACTGCAACATATTCTTTACTCAGTTCAACAGTTTCTAGTTCTGACTCTTCAGAGAGAGGCCATTTATCCGGCTTTTGTTCAAGACAATCCGGCCCCTCCCACCATCTGCTCTATAGCAACAATTTGGCATCGCACCCTCTAGAGGGAAGATCAGCTGGATTGCTTGAGCTTGGTACATAATGCCAGTCGTCCTGATTTGTGCATCTCCTTATTTCAGCTACACAATTGGACACAAAAACACTCCAGTGGGAGTCTTTTGATCCATGTCAGAACTACAGACGAGTCTCTCCAAAGGTACACTTGGCACTTTGTCAATTTAAGAGCGTCAATGACTTGACGGTATAGCCGAGTAGTTATAAGTTCTCCAGGCAACTCTAATCTGGGAATAGTTACTTCTTTGGCAGGCGCTACTCTTGATTTATTTACCAATTGTACTGAAGTTCTGCCCTCAAAATATGCACGTAAGAAAATGCATGCTGCATAAGGTACCTTACTAACATCACTAAAACAATGTAGAGCGATAGAGCATTCATCGAAGGGTCCAATCACAATTCTTCTTGAAATTTTGCAATAATTCATGAAATGTAGTCTTTTGAGCCAAGCCTGAAATTCTCTTTCTATACTTTGTGGAAGATTTCATCCCAGGAAAGGATCATCATCATGTTTTTTGCAGAATGAGTTTTGGAATTAACGTAGTTGGACTAGTAAATCCGATGGGGTCGAATATCCTCTATGAGACTGACAGAAGAGATCGTTTCGTGTGGGCACTCTCCGAAAATGTCAAAGGAGTTAAATTGCAATAAATTTCATCATTCTCGGTGTCCCATGAGAGTCCCAGAATTGGAATGATCTTCTGATAGGAAGTCATGCTTCTATCTTTGAATGGTGCAGCAGTCCATCCTCTAAGGTCAAAACCTCCTGAAAACTTTAAAGTTTGGGACTCTTCTTTGAACTTGACTAATTCTTCTTCGATTTCGAAACTAGCTGTACAATTGTCGACATGAAAGGATTTTTTCAACCTAAGTGCCGTTCCTCTTAAATCTTGTGGAACATTATCCAAATGGTAAGAAATCATTGCTCCCAACAAGTATGGACTCGAAGAAATGCCGAACACGAGATGACAGTGTCTGTAAGTAACAATCTCGGTTTTATTTGAATCTTTCCACCACAGGAATTTCAAAAAGTCTCTGTCTCTGGCACACAAATTGATTTGCAAGAAAGCTTTCCTTATATCGGCAGTAACATCAATTGCATATTGCTGGAATTGTAGCAAAAGTTTTGGAAGCATTTCTATTAAATTCGGCTCCTTTTCAAGGCAAGCATTCAAGGAATTCCCATTTTCATCCTTCAATGATACATCGAATACAGGTCGCACTTTCGTAGTCAGACTGGAATCCTTGATTACTGCTTGATGAGATAAATAGTGACTAGCATCACTATTATTCAGAGCTATTTCAATTATACCTTCCTCGTGCCAGCCTTTAATAATACCATCATATTCTTCGAAAAATCCCATCTTCTGCAGTCTTCGTGTATTGGCGAAAAGTCTTTTTCCCACATTATCTTTATTATCTCCAAGAATCCGATGACTATCCTTCCAAGGCAAACAGACTTTATACTTATTGCCGTCGATTACTTTAATGTTCTCTAGGAAAAATTTGATCGTTTCAGTGTCTAAATTCTCCTTGTTTTCACTTCCGCCGGATCTTTTATGCCAATTGTCTCTAAATTCCATAGTTCTGTGAGATCCAAATGATAAAGTCCGACGGTATGAAGCAAGGTATTATGACTTTGCACCGGACCTTGTAGGGTCCAACCAAATTTTGTGTCAATGGCAGTAAGGTTTTTGTCAATTGGAATGATATCATTCGTCACCAAATGTCCGGAATAGTCGGCTCCTATTTTTAACAATCCGATATCTGATGTATCTCTACCAGAATCACTGATTTTGATTTTATGTTCTCGAAGTGAGGAACATACACGTTTGAGTTTCACTCTAGGAATGTATCCACAAATTTTGTCTTTATCTAAAACCGATAATTCGTATTTGAATTTATTTTCCGTTCCTTGTGTTCCGATATCAAAAATACCATGGACTTGAGATTCAGTTTCAACTCCACCAAACAAATTGTGGCTCAAAGTCTCTTGATCTAATGAGACTAAATCTAGTTTCTTTATTATATCTTTCCGTAAGTAAGATCTTTGTGACCCACTGTCAAAAAGTGCTCTCACAAGTTCCTTTTTTCCATTATGGACAATCTTCACCATAATAGTTTGGAGAAGAGTTGTTTGCAGTTTTTGGTTAGACAATAGTCTCACTCGTTTCGTTAGCTACTTTAAGTGCTTCCCTTTTTGAACTTCTAGAACCTTTTAGTTCTCTGCACATCAACGTTACATGACGTTTGTTGCAAAATAGGCATTTCACAGAACTTTTACACTTTTCGGCAGCATGCCCAATTTTTAGGCAGTTGAAACAAGCTTTTTCCTTTCTTAGTAAATTTTTCTTATCTTCCAATGAAAGGCTGTGCAGCTTAAAGCACTCGTAAAAATTATGTGTTTCCTTGTCACACCAAACACAAAAATTAAGCTGCTTCTTTTTTGAATCTCCTGCATAAATACAAGCTGCTGTGCCTGGAACCAAGTCAAATTTGTCTAGAGTAGAAAAACTTGTACGGGCCAACTGAAGACGCTCTTCACTTTCAACTTCAATTCGGAGAAAATGCAATAAATTTTCCAAATTTTGAGTGTGTGCAACACTTTCCCTACGCTGGCCAGATCGCTCCCATGCCTTCAGAATTTCTTCAGATAGTGAAGACTCTACAAGGGGATACAGCATGTCTGCATAAATCTCACTTTTTACCCCCAACGTCTCCAAAGCTCTGAGTTGCGTCTCTAACTTATCATATAAGTTGGATAGAGTCATATCTCCTTTTTTGCTAGCTTGAGCCAAAAGCAACTTTAATAATTCGCGAAAGTATATTTCTACTAGTAATTCGTCGCGTGCAAATACAGATTTTAGCTGTTTGATAGCTTCTTTATAATTCGCGCCTGAGGGAGGATAACTATCTATGAGCTCTCTCGCTGGGCATCCAACTACTGTTGCCTGCAATAGGTACTGAAATTTACCATCGTCATCTATATTTACATCTTCGTCGATCTTCTTAAACTGTCCCCAAAATCCTAACCAATTTCGGGTGTTCCCATTGAATTTTTGAAGCTCCAACTTTGGTAATTTAAAGTTCCTTTCCGTGGAATTTTCTAAAGTTCCAGGTGTAATTACAGGAGAGGAATTCACCCTTTTGTTTTCTACTTTTGTTTTTAAACTGATATATTTATCACGATATGCTTCATTCGTGTCAAAATCAGCCAAATATTCACTTTCGTTTTCACTTTCCAGCAAAAGTTCGGAAATTTGATTGAACTTCATCTAATCTGTTGAATTTTCCTTCCAACTGTGAGCTCAATACTTGGAGTTGGGAGCCTCCACGTCAGGCTTTAGAATTTCAGCATCTAAAGCACTGGCAGTAATCGTAAACGATTGCCTTAGAGGCTTGCGCTTTCGTAATAAAATTTCCATGATTTAAAATTCAATATGTCCAATATATTAAATAATAAAGGATATAATCAAATAAATCATAAACTCACTTGATAAATTCCGATACGAAATCGATGTTTCGTTTTCAAACCGTTGTTTCATTTTCTTCAAATAGCCATTCCGTCCTGTCACCGGACGCCAGTTGTTTGAAATTAATCAATTTCTTGACTTATTTAATAACTTCGGACGAATAGTAATATATTTCGCAGAGATAACCTTTTTAATTAACAACAAACTTATTTTATTTAACATTCTAAACATAACAAAAAAAAAAAAGTAACATTCCGTGCATTATCACGCTCAAAGCAATATATTTATTTAACATTCTGAACATAACAAAAAAAAAGTCACATTCCGTGCGTTATCACGCTCAAAGCAATATATAAAAAACATCACTGTTGCCACAAAAAATCTACACTATAACGAACATATTAAATTATTGTGTATTAACTGAGTTCGTGCACGTTCCTTAACAGTAACTGTTCACAATCTGCAATTAGGAGAAAAATGATGTAATGTAATAATGAATAAAAAAGAAGTAAAGCACCTGGCAATTAAGATTGGAGGTCAGAATAGTCTATTCTATAGCTGTTCTAACCTCCATGGAAATAAATGGAAATAAAAACAAGATAGACATAGTAAGACTAATACATAGTATCTATTATCTTTAATAGTAGAATAATAATAATCACTAATAGTAGTATCTATTTCCACATTTTTTTAATGTATTAAATTAATTACGGTTTAATACATTACTCGCAAATGTCATTTTTTTTAATCTTTGCTTTACTTTAATGTACTGGTTTACTGTCTTTCTTTATTTTTATTCTTTTATTTGATAAAAAAAAGTAACTGTAATGACCGTTTATTTAAAAATAATTGCATATTTGTCATGTATATGTGTGATTAGGGAGAGGAGAGGTCCGATCCCATAAATTTCAATTTCTAAGAGTACTGAAAATGTACACGGCTCGACAAAATTAAAGGATATTGTCCTAAGAACAGCACTGACACTAAACGAAGGAGAAACATATAGTTGGAGGTACTACAGATACCTCTAAGGCTCCAGTATAGGAGCCCAAGGAGCTAACGGAGCTCCCTACATAGAGGTTAGAGTAGACGTATTCTAACCTCCATATGGTAATCCGGAAAGCGGTTGTCATCAAATAACGTATTTCCTTTAAGGAAACAGCTGTAATATCTTTTCCCTGTTGAGGGATTTTATCTCTTAATGTCATCGTCTTTACTGTTTGTATTTTAACATGGTAAAGCATAGAATATTATTAAAAAATAGCACATAAATAATAAAAAAAAATCTGAAAGGTTTCAGATTTTAAATTACATCCAAAGCGGCGGTTTTTTTTAATGTTTTGTGCGTTACATTTATTTATTAAATATCATGTTCTTCCGACTTAAACCATAAAATTCAATTCAACAGCAATATCTCAAAATAATTTTAAAGTGAACATATCTTTAGAATTTCTGATACACAGTTCCGCGCTGGAGATAAAAAGTTTTTCTATTTTCCCCGTAGAGTGTTGCCATTGCTCGCTTTTAAATTGTTTAGTTTGTTAATCAAAAATTCGTTAAAGTTTTACAAAATATGAGATAGATAATAAAACATATTCCAAATTTGGGCTTCCAGATGCCCATATTCGGGTAGAAATGTACGTTATTCAAAACTGGATGGTTCTAGGTACCGTTGTTTTATCACAAAGCGCGAAACACACATACTCGTACATTGATGCAGATTCTTCATTGCTTAATTTCTTTAAATATAACAGAGGGCGATAATATTTGGTGGCAACAATTTGAAAAGTGAATCGGACATTTATAGCGAAACAACGCAAAATGCCAAAAAGAAAATAATAGACCTTCACGGCAAATGGCCCCTTTGGACTAATAATAAATAAAATGTAATTCAGTTGTACTTATTGAAAATTAAATAAAATATAAATCTCCGGTGCCTGCGTATATTTAATGTTTTGATTTAACATTCTTATTTACAGATGACAGATGTTCTTACATTTTAATTTACTGAAAAATGGTTAAAACTAATGTGTACAAAAGCATCAATGAAGATAAATTACTGTTTTCCAGTTCATTAATCTCAAAATATTGATTTTAAACTCAGTGTATAGAATCAAATGTATAGAATTAAAAAAAAAAAAAAAAAGAACACCACCACAGAAAAAGGAACCCCATTACGTTTTCCTTAATGTCGTATGCAGTTTGAGAAAAATGTAAAGCTCACATCTTCATTTCATAGAATTTAACAACTTGCTGATGAAGTCTTACAAATGGGTTCCCGCCGCTTTTCTGAAATTACATTTTTCAGATCCAGGATATCGGCGTTTTGTAAATTGGACGTAAGGTGTCCCACACATGCTCAATTGGATTCTAGTGTGTCAATTAGTTCGAGTAAGGTCTTCTGTTTCGAAGTATTTTGAGATCGAAGACACCCGCGTGTGAACAAGCATAGACATTAGCAAACATCCGGACCAACCTTAACCCTAAATTGAATTGCGTGGAATTCCAGAAAAAAACTTCCTTAAACATATGAAGTTGGTGATGCATGTTTATGGCTTTACTCCCATGAATCCGCTTTCGGTGAAATCCATTTCCTGGAATTCGTTCCTGAATAAGAGAAGGCAAGTTGCGAGTTTTGCTTCTGCATAAACCGGGGTGGATAGCTGTAGAGAGGGATCAGAAGGCATGGGTAAAAATTTTAAACCTTCAGAACTGCTTCCTGCTGTCGCTATGCATTCTTTAAGGTGTCAAAATTTTCTATAAGGTTGTTTAAGGTATTTAAGGTGGTCTTTAAGGTGGCCTTTAAGGTGTATTCTTTAAGGTGTGTTCTTTAAGGGGCGGAAACTCTCTCTTCGATTTGTTTTTTGATATAAATAACTCTTTCTGCACTT